TCCAAGGGGTGTGTGCCAACCCCCAGGCAGGGGGACTGAGTGGCTCAGGCATCATCCAGGACAGCAAGTGGGGGGGAGGAGGGGAGAGCTCCATCAGCTGCAGCCTGGCCCCTCACCTGCCCCCAGGGCAGCTCGGCAGGAATGTGCAGCTAATTAGCAGGAGACTCCCCCAGGGAGCCTGAGTAGGCCTGAGCCCAGCCTCCCAGGCCAAAGGCAATGTCTCCTCCTGCAGTCTGGGACCCTCCCCTCGCCCCTCTGGCAGGGAGCACCCCCGCCAATTACCGTGTTCCCTTCTGAGCCCTCCAGCCGCAGCCATTCCTGCAGCTCCCCTGCCTGCCTTGTGGGGCCCAGACAGAGGAGGGGGATCTCCCAGAACCAGGTAAAGGGACTGCCCCTCCCTGCTGAGGTATTGCTGCAGCATTGAAGGCCCAGTCAGGGTCTGGCGCTGCTGCGCCAGGTGCTGCACACGCAGCGGGAGGCAGTCCCTGCCCAGAGAGCTAAGGGTACAGCCTAAAGTCCTGCTGGCTCTTGGCCCTACTCCTCCACCCCCCAAGCTCCCTCCCTTTGAGGCACCAGCACCCGGAGCTGAGCCTGCGGGGCAGACCTCCCATGGGAGGCTGTATGTGAAGAGACTGGGGGGCTTGGATGGAACAACTCCCCCCAGCAGGACTGGGCCGCAGCTTGAGTGCCACCTGGCCAGGGCCGGCTCTAGGCAGGTGCTTGGGACGGCACATTTTTAGGGGCGGCATGGCCGGCACCAGAATGCCGCCCCTAAAAATGTGCCTCGGCCGCCCTAGCTCACCTCCTCTGCTGTGGCGCATGAAACAGCTGATTCACGTGCCGCTGCTCACCCTCCCTCTCAGGCTCTCAGACCTGGGAGGGAGGGGGAGATCCCAAGCGGCCGTGGCGTGCGAAACAGGTGATTTGCGGGCCGCTGCTCGCCCTCCCTCCCAGGCTCTCAGACCTGGGAGGGAGGGGGAGACTCCGAGTGGCCGCAGCGCGTGCGCCACTTCTCCCCCTCCCTCTTAGGCTTGAGAGCCTGGGGAGGGAGGGGGAGACTCCGAGTGGCCGCGGCGCCTGCGCCACTTCTCCCCCTCCCTCTTAGGCTTGAGAGCCTGGGGGAGGAGGCAGGGCTGGGGATTTGGGGAAGGGGCAGAGCTGAGGCGGGGCCGGGGGTGGGGTAAGAAAAAAACGGGGGGGGGAGCCAAAATTGTTTCTGCTTGGGGCGGCAAAAATCCTAGAGCCGGCCCTGCACCTGGCCTTGCTGAGGGAAGGGAAAGAGGCCAAGGAGTGAGCAGGGAGCTGGAGCTGGAGCCGGAGCCACAGCAGGGGCCTGCCCCCATTCTCTCTCTTGCCAGCTGATAGCTGGCTGGGACCTCTCCTATCCTGTCACCAGCCCCTGTGCAGGGGGTCAGGTTACTGATGTCGCCATAACCTCCCTGTTCCAACAGCTCCCCCCAGGCCTGGACCTTGGCCCAGCCCAGGCTTCTGACAAACCAAACACGGGAGAGCGCGTCCCAGAGAGCCGGCCTAGGCAGCCTGGGGCCAGAGAACCTCTGCCCAGGCCTGGCTCTGCGCTCTCTACACCCCAGGCCTGGAAGTGTCACAGGGCTGCCCCTCCCCTGGTCAGGGGGCTCTGCTGGTGGGCCCAATTCACCCCCGAGAGAGGAGAGCAGGGGCCTGCGTCAGTGACACCCCCCAGCGTTGCCCCTGCCCTGGGGTCTGTAGCACCCACTGGGCCTAGGCTGGAGTCTCTGCCCCCATCACTCAAGCCCCCTCTCCAGGCAGGGAGAAGGAGCGAGCGTTGGATCTCTGCTCTCTTCCCCCTCAGCTTTGATGCCAAGCAAGAAGCCTCAGGGTAGGGGAAGTGAGCCAGTCTCAGGGGAGTTGCATAGAGGCACAAGGCCCCTGGCTGAGCTGTATAGCTTTGGGGGGCGGGGAGGATGTCACAGAGTGTGGGGGAGTCAGGGCCCGCACCCCCCACTTCCTGCGATTCACCGGGACTCTCAGCCAGCCAG